ACAATTTAGGTTCATTTCCTTTCGTCTTCACCAAATGAGCTTTACGTGGTTCTTTCGGCTGAAAGTTAGTATAAGCACTTTCATTACGTATGACCAATATCATGTAGAACAACATATCTATTTCAGTGATACATCAAATAACGTGGTAAGGGGAAATGGAATGGTAAGGGGCAANAAACGAAGCAACATCAATAACAACGATAAAATTACAAAACAACAAATCGAATAGATAACCACCTCTCCAAATCAATCTTCATCCATTCAATCATTCACTTCTCACGCAACAATTTCAAAACGAACAGGACGTAACAATTTAGGTTCATTTCCTTTCGTCTTCACCAAATGAGCTTTACGTGGTTCTTTCGGCTGAAAGTTAGTATAAGCACTTTCGTTACGTATGACCAATATCATATAGAACAATATACATATTTCAGTGATACATCAAACAACGCGGTAAGGGGAAATGGAATGGTAAGGGGCAAATGACCGTCAAAATTGAAGCTACTACTTACCATACGTGCAATTGGCACGCGTTCACCAGTTTCCTTGGCATGCTTCTTTTTCGCCTCATTTTCTTTGACTCGATTCAAAAAGTCTTGACGACACTTTGACGGCCTGATATGCTCCACTCGGACATTCAGGTGCTTCGATATGATACGATTACTGCAAATTACAAGAAAATAGTAATGGGTTCAAAATGCCACCAGATTTCAAACTGCATTTGAGTGCAAGGAGAGAAACACAGTAATGAAATGGCAAACGGCAGAGGTTGGGCATATTTCGGTAATTTAGACGGTGATTCGTGAGGAAAATGAATGGCGACCGGACAAAAGCACATCCGAAGAGTGATGACAAAACTAACCGAACACGTTTGTTAACAACAACACCAACTGCATGTTTCGTAACGTTGAAAACACGTCCAGTCCGGCCGTGATAGACTTTGAATGGCATACCCTTTTGGAATGCACCATTGCCCTTGATATCAACAATATCACCGCGTCTATAAACTCGATAGAATGTTGACAGTGGCTCTACTCCGTGCTTACGGAAGTCACGAGCGAACATATAACGCGTACCGCGCCTTATACCCTTTGGATTCACCATATTTCCTGAAAATTTTTTCGATTCACCATCACTCCTTTGGCATCGTTTTGATAAGAATTTATGCGAAATGCAACAATATTCGTCGTCGTCAACGAAGCACTAAATCAAAAAATCAAATGCTAATAAAACGCACAAATTTTTGACCGAAAATGATCGAATCATTACATTCTAACAACGACAACATCTCAAAAGAAAGTCACTCATCCTGCTCGCATTTTTCAGGCATGAATGATAGAGCTAAAATGCAACGAAAAACAACGTTAATATACGCATCGAATAACTAAAAATACCAAACAAATGAAATGATTATATGTATTCAACACAATTCCTTATCCGCCTTATTAATAGAAATTAATGGCTCAGCAGATGGACTTTTAGGTTTGGCAGTTAGCCATTGCTTAGACATTATCATTTCGTAACTCATTTGCTCTCTTTTACAACTGAATACGTCGAATATCCGAGACGTATAAATCTG